CCAGCCACATTCCAACTGCTTTTAACAGGCTGACAGAAGTAACCTTGTGTTAAACTCAGAACAGACAGTTCCAATGTGTCCGTGTGTGTAAATCAAAGTGAGATACAGGACAGCTCACAGTGGCAGACACACTTTTCTTACTTTCTCTTTTTTTACAAATCCCGATTGACTCTTAGTTACCCTTTAACTCAAAGCTTTCTGAATAAGTCGGCATAAAATCATCGCTGCCTGAGCAGTGCACGGTCACATGACACTGTAAATGCAGGGTGACTTTTACAGCATCATGCTCCACATACCAAAAAAAAAATTACCAAACAGTTTTCAAACCGATTTGTGACACACAACATGCTCTAACAATTAGCTTTGTGAGTTCAAAATGACCAAGGCAGCTATTGTGTCCCTTTCTTTCACAGAACTTTGAAAAAATTAGAATTTAGTCCCACAAAAACTGGTGTGAATCAATACGATTCTGGTTGTGAGGTTTTTCTCTCAGATATCACTTGCACGACAACATGCTTAAAAGGGGGGGTATGTATGTGTGGGTATTTGCATTGTCTATGCACAGTGTAGGCAGACAGGAAGCCTTTTGAAACCCACCCTGAGGTCAGCGTGCTGAGCACATCGGCCTCAGTAGCCCCGGTTGCTATGCTTATCTAAAGTAGCACTCTGAACGGCGTATGTCGGAATTATTAATAGGAAACCGCTATCCTTCTTTAAAATAGCCTGGGGGAGAACATTTGCCAAGGATCCACTCTAAAGATTATGTCATTGTTTTTCTCTGCAACCTAGTGGAGAACCCTGCACATGTCCATGCTTTCTGCTCAATAAATTAGGCCACTGTACAGTATTTGTTGGTTGTTTTTTTTTTATCTGTGAAAATAAAGTGTGGAGTGCACTATTCTTAATTAGCACCAATTCATAGGTTACACTTCTAAGCCGTGACAACATACACAATCTTTCATTGTAATTTGCAAAAATATCCTTTAAGTACAACGAAAAAACAAACAAACAATTGACATGTGTCACATTACATTAAAAAAACTGGTCTGGCTCTATTGCCCACTTACAAAAATGTATTTACTATCAAATAAAAATGGTGGAGCAGTGGAAAGATGGATAGTGGAATCTAGCTAAATAGCTAGATATATCCTAAGCAAACTAAATCTTAATCTCCAAGACTGTTGTTCCTCACTCAGAGTGAGAGCACAGTAGATGACATGTAAAAAAATAAATAAAATTATGGTCTCTGAGAAGCTTTCAGAAGAAGATCTCTGAACTAAATCCTTGTAACATTAATGTTTATAACGTAGTTATGATTTATTTACAACAACTTTAAATAAATTACAAATTAAAAACAATATCTCTGTAATATATATTGTGACATTTTCAGTAGTGAACTTTTGAAGACTTTTGTTTTTGGATAATAAACTAAAAAGAAATCTGAAACCACGCAGTTGTGCTTGTAAACCTGTGCAGCATGTTGATGCGATCTGATTGGTCAAGCAGCAACAGTGTGTCAGTTAGGACTTCATAGTAAACGTCTTTGACTCAGACCGCATCTCTACTTTAAGCTGCACTGTGGAAACGGAAATAGGCAGTTAAACGTCCAAGAAAGTCAAAAGAATTCCTTCTTGACACAACTTCAAGCCTGAAAAACAGAGCGAACATTCCTCGTTCTGCCACCCACATTGTAGGACATGACTGAGCAGGAGAAGGGATCTTCAACTTCAGCGTCTATTATACATTCTTTTGTCTATCACAATGCCTGAACATGATGTGTTACAACACCAAAAGTGACCTTTTCCTCTCTTGACTTTATTATAGCCATGTTTATTATAGACACGTTTTATGATTATTCAGTAAATATGAATTTTTCTAACGGTCCTGTGCCAAGGTTTCTACGCATTCATCTGCTCCAAATGCTGGGGTAGCTAAACGTCTTTACACTGATATTGTACTACACAAAGTTTGCATTTTAACTCACGGTTTCAGCTCCTGTGAGTAGGAAATGGTGGTGAAGATCGAGAGCGCGATCCCCACAGCAGTTTAACCATAACCGCCATGGCTGAAATATGACGCCCCATCTTAAGTGTTTCAAGGAGAAGTTCAGTTTGTCAACTACAAGTACTAGATCAATACTAAATAAACATAAGTACTTGTCTATGAAGTGTGATTAATTGCCTAGCAAGAAATGTTGACGCTAATCTCTCGATTTTCATGGTCCAGAAGGCAGATCTCTTTTAGCCTGCGTAGAGTACCAACTAATTATGTGATAGCAAATATCTAATAAGATAAGTTGTCGGACTATATGTCCGACAACTTATCTTACAGAAACTAATTTGTCTTGGGGTACAACAATGTTAAATGTATCCAACACTATTATTATTAGACCTCTCCATTCAGACAAATACTCATTTCTGTTAGGTGAATGAAAGATTGAAAAAAATTGCTACACCTAAGTTACATGTTCTATTCTCCCTTTTATGGGAGCACCAACAGATCGAGAAAACGAAAGCCTCAGTTGAAAAAGTGAGAGCAGAACTGGCTGTCACACATTCCTCAGCTATGAATCTCCTAAGTCTTAAAGTGTTTCAATGGGAGCGTTTTGAGCCAAGACCAAACGCTAACCCCTAACTTTTCCCGCTTTTAGCAAAGGTTCTAATTTTCCTGTGAACCAGAGCAATGCAGATGAATATAAACTGATGTCTCAAGCCCATAAAAACGTGAAGGATTATGGGTATTTAACCGATACAAACAGACATGCATAGTCCTCAAAAATCTAACTGACTTCTTTTAGCAGAAAGCTGAATGATTAGGTCAAACCATGAAATTCCCGAATGATGAGGCATAAGTGAAAATCCAGGGCCATCCTAAGTCTTCTAGCGCTTAGTTTCGTCACTCTGCCGCAAAGATCAATATTTACCTTCAGCGACTTCTGTCTTTGAAAGGTTAAAGGAGTGACAGCAGACCACAATGCAAGAAAAAACAATACAAAATAAATTTGAACTTCCAAAGTGATGTTGGAGGAGTGCCAACAATGGAAAAAAGGTAGACCTGGTAAGAGATAAAAAGACTTTACTCCTATTCAGTCACCATCCACGAATGTCCATAATCCAAGCTGTGTTCTGCCACAAAGCAGAACATATTATCAAGCTAGTCTTTTTTCACATAGCAACTGATGAAACGTGAAATATCAAAAGGTTTTAAAAACAAAAAACTGTGCTTTCTGAGAGGAAAGTAGAGGTATAAGAATAGTACATGAACACACCCTTATCGGCTTACCCTTATCGGCTCCATGCTGAAACGAATCTTCCTACTGGGTGGCACTGGCTCCTCTTCCTCGGGAAGGCCTGGGATTTCAGAGCAACTGCTCTCCGGCTGATATGCCTCCTCATCTTCTTCATCCTCGTCATCGTCCAGCTGGCTTCCCCCAGAGTCGTCCTCCCCAAGTCCGCTGTACGCGCTGATATCTACCAGATCCCCCTCCGAGTAATCCTCCCTCCGTGAGCCGTCATCGTCGTTATCCTCCTCTTCCTTTCCTTCGGAGTTTGCTCCTTTCTCGTCTGAGGAGGGAGAGGACGATGGAGACCCTTCCTCCCCGTTTTCCAGTGACGCGTGGACCTCGGCCTGGACCAGCCGGCCTTCGGCCGGTGTTGAGGCGTCCCCTTCTATGGCTGGCGGCTCCAGCTCGGGGGAAGCCGCGATACCCGAGCCCCTCGGCTCAGCCTCTGCCGGCTGGCCACCCGAGTCTCGTTTGGCCTCGGATGAAGACGAGGAGGACCCGACAGTCACCGAGGAGGCCGAAGAGTAGGAGGAGTTAGAGAGCTGGTCTCCGGACTGCCCCGACCCGTCCTTGTCTTCGCTTGTTACCATTCCCGCGATACCCTTCGGTAGGGAACCTGCTGCTTCCGGTAGCTGTGCGGACAGGTGGCTCGTAGCTACCTCCTCACCCGTATGGGGCACCTTTGTCTGGAAGGAAGACGAAGAAATAGAATAGGTTATCACTGAATGAATCAGTTTGTTCACAGTCTATAAAAGCGTCTTCGAAAAGGCCTTCCGTGGTCACCTTCTTCTCGGCCCCATCCGCCCTAGCTGGAGGTTTGGGTTTCGGCGCCAATGCGGGGGCCGACCGACGCTGCGGGAGGTAGACGTTGTTCTGCGGTTCGCCCTTCTCAAACACAGCGCTGAGTTGGCTCACAGTGGGGCTGACAGCATCGGTAGGCCCAACCGAAGCTGCAGCCGGAAGAACAGTGGCAAAAGCGGGAGCAGGAGGATCGTCCAGTCGATCGAGAGCTTCGGTGGAGCCATTAAAGCGAGCCACAACGTCGAGGCGGCTGTCCTGGAAGCCCGATGCCCGCTCCTTCTTCAACAAGATGCGGTTGGTAGCAGCTTGCTTCTCCTGAGATGGTAAAATGAAAGAAAAAGAAAAATCGTAGGGACAAAATGAATGACCGAGAAGAAATCAACAGATTTTAGATGTCTAAGAACACAAAGTTCTAGGTAGCCCGTTACCTGAAGAGTCCGCTGTTCAAAGATCCGCCTGGTCTCTTGAAGCTTGGAGAGACCCGCAGAAGAGCCCCTTCCCTCTCCATCTGTTTTAGGGTCAAAACGATTGACCCTCTCAGAAACGGTGCCACCGACTTTCAGCGGGGCACTGTGGTCAACATTGTCATTAAGGTTAGAGTCCCTTGGAATGGAGAGTTTAATTGTCTCGTCTTTACCTACAAATAGCAAAAAGAAGGGGGAAAAAACAGCAGGATTTCAACTTCAGGTTGTGTAATAATTACAGCTATTTTTAGCACCAATGTATTAGCCAATCCAGTTTTGATCTTCTTTTTCGAAAAAAAAATGGTTCTGGACAATTCACATTGACTTTCCCCGTGTTGAGAAGTCATTCATTTTGTCACAGCCTATGAAGTCTTTCAATTTAATGAAACATTGTAAATTAGGTTCTTTGTGTGAACCGATTTGTGCTCAATCAAATATATAATGGGGGACATTTCAAATATTTTAAACTGGTGTGTTATGTTTTTCATATTTATGAATGTTTTTTTAACTGCTATTTAAGAGGCATAACTGAGGGGAAAGTCAGTATCACTTATAGGCCATATCAAAGTCCCCAGGATTTAACAATAAGAGCCTCCATAAAAATTAACTACACAACTAATTGCCTAACTAATCACCAGTCTACCAGTCTATTTTCTATCAATCAATCCAGAGGTTTTCTAACTGGCTCTTGTTATGCCTCTTCAATAAAGTGTTCCTGCCAGGACACAACAAACTGTCATTTTAAATTGGCCTTTAAGATTTGATGTGACTACCACTTTAAGGGGAATGTATTCAGGTGGTTTCACATTTTTAACATATACCAATTGGTGTCCCTGTATCCGGAACATTAGGTCTAGCACCAAGTCTAAGTTGACACGGCTTTACTTTTTCACACACATCCAAACAAAGATATTAGTAGTGAACAAGGGGTTTAGTATCTTGCCCAGGGACACTTTGAAGCCCAAGGCTGGCTTTTTCGATAGGAAGACCAGAGCTCCTCCTCCTGGGAAACAACTAGTCCCACATACGTAGTTTATAATGTCAGAGAAGAAGCCCCAGAATGTTTTCAAATGGTTTTGTGTAAGAAGGAAAAGAGAAAAAACAGGCAGGCCCCTTTTCAGTCACAGTTTTCAGACTTTTTTTTGCAACCAAAAAAGAAAAATGTGTAGATGTGAGTAGCTTTTTTGGGGGGAACTTGGCTGTAATCATGTATATTATATAGAAACCTGGAGCCAAACAGAAGGCAAACGTGTTACGACATCACAAGAACACTGGACATCACACTTGGCACATAACTTAATCAGACAAAATTGGCAACTTTTTTGGGGGGGCGGGCAGGTTTCAACAACAAAACATCTAAAAATTGTTGGCAAAAGTAGATTGACAAAACCATCTGGGAACTGCTTTGTTGAAATCATTTTGAAAAGTACTTGATTTGAAAGGAGTGAGATAATTGAATATCTTTGGAAAGGAAGCAAAAACATAATGAGCTAACACTGTCCGCTTATCCTTAAACTCAGCATAAGGTACCAGTTGTTCTGGCAACAAACAGATAGCTTTGAGCCTGGATAGAAGATTTTTCTTAGTGGTCGCGACCTCAAAGGAATTGGGTGCAAAGATAGCTGAAACTATACAGTATAGTGCAGACTAGCACTATTTCCACGTCTAATCTCTTTTGTTCGGTAATCATGGACAAAGATTTTGCCGGCTGCTTGTACAGCAACAGCAAATTTAAACTTTGCTAGTGTCAACATATGGGACTTTTCATAAAGAAGACATGGACAAAAATTTGGTATCAGCCTTAACCAATACATTATTAGTATTTGGTTGTTTGGTGCTGCAGAGGAACCAAAATATAAAAGAGACAGTGGTTAAGACTGAGGAGGAACCTTTCGATCTGAACGTATTAAATGTGGTGTAGTTACATCCTATACAAATACAAATGAATCACCATCATGACAAAAAGACATTGATTGGGATAGTTTTCACAAAAACTTTGCCAAATTTTAAAGATGAAGTTAAAGAACAAGACAAAAAAAAAAGCATTTCAAGGTGAGGACCATACTTAAGCGATTAGTTCATATCTGAAGAAGCCAGACACTCTGTGAGACGGCTAGAGCAGGAAAAGTTTTGACTACGTGGCCTACATGTGTTTGGCAAACTCAGCGCTCAGGTCGTTTCTGGGGAAACTACTTTGGCTGGAGCTGCTGGAGAGCATGCATCCCAAACTCCCCCCCCAAAAAAGACATAAAGCAAAGCAGAGACATATGCAAGCAACCTTTGGGGGTTCTTTACCTCAGTTTTACTTTTTGGAATGGTTACAAGGGTTGATTATCCTTTTTTTTCTCCCAATGATGGAGTAGTCAACCCTTGACTGTACTGCAATGTCTGCTACCGTAAACCTAAATTTTTTTGTCAGAATAAAACATTTGAAGCCCCTCTGTTGAATCACTCCAATTACAGCACACACATCCAATCAAGTATTTCCCTATACTGCAATCTCCTGCAGTGTTTATTCAAACGTAGTCTGTAATAACCTTGTGAACTCACGCAAAAAAAAGTAACATTTTATAATTATTCTCACCAAAATGCACTCCTTCTCTAAAATAAAAAGGTAACCTTTCCCCGACATGAACCTAAACACAAAAGCGTATTCAGAAATAATCACACAGTGACGGAGAGTTATAGTCATTTGTGTGGTTCTCCACTTTTGGAATCACTGGCCTTCTTCAAGTTGTTGTTGACGGAGGAAGACAAAAAAAACACTTCATACTTAAATGATTTAGGTTCCTCACCTATCATTTTGGCTCCTTCCTCCTCGTCACCGGGAGACTGCATCTGCATGAACATGTTCTTGATGCGGTGGACATTGGATCCGTACCTCCGGCCCCTCCCGGTGGGACGGGGCAGGAGGGGGGGTTTGGAGGAGGGCTCGGCTCCTCCGTTGGGGGCATTGTTGAGGTGGTCGGTGGCTTTCTTCAGGGCGGCCAGCCCCGCCTCATAGGCGTTGCGGTGAGGCGAGGGACTCCGCAGATTGGAGCTCCCGCCGCTCCCGGCCGAGGCCCCGTTCCCCCCGGTGGCCGATGGGGGCTCAGTCTTCATCATGTTTGGTAAGTCAGATGCTCCCAGGTGCACAGCAGGTTAGAAGGGACAGAGGCGGCCGCATCCTGGAGCTGCTTGACTCTCACCTCCTGTGACAAAGAGAAATGCATGGATATTTTTTTAGACAAAAAATAAGGTCTGTTAATCCATACTAACTAAATTTAGTAACAACAAAAAAAAATTAAATTAGGTTCAAATAAACAAGTGAAGGGTGTTTACTCATAACCAGATACTTTGCTGTTTTGTAAATGAAAAAAATAGTCACCAAATCCATCCATAAAGAGCAAAGTTCTGTCGTCAGAGTCAATAAAGACCTTGAGTTCAAGAGTCTCAGCCTGACATTATTACATCTGCTCTGGCTCAAATCACCCACGTGACCCTTTATGAGTCCATAAGCAATCAAACCATCCAAAAACATGCGCTCTGACGGAGCGTCACGTGCGACTTCACTTAAGTGCTTGAGAAGTTTGTGACCAGGGTTCATCATTAACTCTGTTCTAGGGATAATTAAAACTTATATGAACATTTTGCTTTCACTGGTCTTTTAAGAGCCATTTTCCATTTCAAGTAGCATCCACCGCACGTAAGAGTACAATTCACAACCTCAACCATTTATATAAAAAAAGACAACTGAGGAGCTAAGATAGCTGTTATTATGATCAATGGAGAATATATGTGACAGATGCTATTTTTCTTGCTTTTGCCATAGAAATGGTTGTCCCACTCACTCTACCTATGTACATCCAAAAATGTTGCTCCATGTCACTACGTGTTTGGTGTCGGCCCTCTTCAGACTCGTTGAATACAGCCTAACAACTGTTAGCTAGCTATATGGCTAGCTGCAGTTTAAAGGACTTCAAACATGTTTGTTTTTCAGTCACTTTAACTTTCAAGCATTAAACATCCTGCTGTAAAATATCATTTATTTTCATTTAGTATCTATTCAAAATGCTTTTTTTAAAATGAGTTGTTCTAAAAGATGAAAATTTGCCCTTCAATTTTCCTCGTCAGAATAGCTATTAGCTTAGCATCCCTAACAGAACCAATGCTAAATTTCGAAATGGAGAATACTATCCAATACCTTTTGAATACCCATGAATATCACTATGTTACTGTTCAAAGCCTGAAGGTAACAAACCATAAGAGTTAAAATGGTTATCAAAGGTTAGTATATTAGGACATTTCTAGACAAAGTGTTACAGACACTTCAAGGTAGGAGTAAAAGTCCAGAAGATATCACCAGTCAAATAACTACCCAATGTCTGGTCTATGTTGTTAACTTTGAATCGAGCTACGCTCTTTATGCCTGAACTAGACAAAGCAAAGCTAAAGCACACAGGTTTCATGGTGGTAATCTTCTAACTTTTGCCCAAGAAGGTCATTTTTCACGAAACTTTCACTTATCTTCTTATGGATCCCCTCAACAAAAGTGAATGAAACAACAGGAATAACGTAAATGAACCTGGATGGGCGTGTCTGTAATGTTTTGGTGCACAAAAAATGATGGTGAACACAACCAGTAGAGGAATGCCATTTTTTAGTCCCACATCATGTTGCAAAGGCGACTAAAGTTCACCAGTAAAACAAAGACATAGCTGTTTGCTGCTTTAAAAATTCAATGAAAAATAAAATGGTTAAGCCACTTAGATGACTACTTGCTAGCGGAGCCAAGGGCAAAATCTAATTTTTTCCCAGCAGCCTGTGGGATTTTACGTAAAACCTGAAGCCCAACTGTGAAAAATTAATCGTCATTCGAGGTCCACAGAGAGAAGACGTACTTCTGCGGATTAAGAGTGCTAATTGAAAAACAAGCACGGATCAAAGCTCACAGAATGAGGATGTGTGAAGTGCACGCCAGTCAACTGTGCGCTTTGTTTATCTCTGTCAATCAATTTTCCGTGAGCTCTTTCAGATAAAATAGTCAAGTGAACCCAGAAACACGCCAAATGTTTTCCATTTTTTGTTTTTTGGGGTCTGAAGCTTTGGGGAATTCTTGATCAAACATGTCAGTGAAATTGAAAATCTTTGGATGCTGGACTGCTGTCTCTGTGCTTGCGGTAGCTAGGGTTAACACACTCCATACAACAACAAAACTACAGATAAATCAATAATTTAAATCGTGTCTAGCTGCAGCTCCACTGTCAACAATACTTTAAGGCAGTCTGGGGAATATGAAAGACAGTTTATAGTACCGTTTGCCCCCCCTGGCATCTCCAGGTGGCAAAATAACACACACACGCACACACACACTACAACCAGTCTCATGACACTTTATTGCCAAATAAGAAATGCTAAGACACTGGTCACGTGAAGCCCAGTGAGTGAAACCAAGGTGAAGCACACTGACTTTACAGATACACACACCCGTACACTAGAACGCTGCCTTTCCACAGCTCCAGGCCTCTTTCCTGTCATTGTTAAGATGAAGCTGGTTGCTCCTGGCCTCACTGATAAACACAACCCGACGCAAACAATACGAACAACACGCGATCCGAACCCAGCATCCACCAAGCATCTCATCCTCGGTGGATTCTGCAGCTTGTTGGGAGAGAAATATCTTTTAGAAATACAGCAGAAGCGAGAAAACGCCAGCTCCTCTTTCCAGGAACAGCCTCATCTGCCTCATTCCTGCCCTGGATACCCCCCACCTCCTGCAGTTTGGGGCTGCTTCCAGCTATTCAATGTGGATCCTCACTCTCAACTACGCTTTCACTTCCCCTTTAGAGGAGAGGGACATTTTCTAGCCCTAATAGAGCCTTGCTTCTGCTTTTTTATATGCCAGACACATTTCCTGACTATGAACCAAGAGAAGCAGAGAAGCATTCTGCAAAAAATATATATATCTATATCTATATTACTCTAAATTATGAACGTTGCTGCAACTATAATTTGCCTGTGTCACCACACTTCCCTATAATCACTTCTCTCCGGGCTGAATGACTTATCTAATCTCGGACTGGATTGCAATAGCATTGTATTTTACCTTGAAATAAATTAATAAACCAGCCTCCTCCCACACTAATAAGCAAGTGGGACCAATACAGCCCACAAGAAGAACAATGCAGCCTCTCCATCTGCACCAATCACCCTCAGCTGAGGCAGGCGAGTGCCATTTGATATGTCATCTCCATCTAGAAGGTCTCCTCCCAGTTTTTTAACCCAGACAACACACGCGCACATGGCTCCCGCTGACCGGTCATATCTCCGTGTCTGCAACCATTTACGGGTCACATTAAGATAGACACTGCAGTCAGTGTGGAAAGATGTTTCCCCCTTCGGTCCAGCATCTTGTGGAACACCGAGAGGCTGCGTGCGTCACGGTCACAGTCTCCACAGAAGGCGCATTATAGTAAACACAATGACTCCGTCTATTCACATCACAATCCCCGCATCTGTGGAGGAGACTCCAAGGCTCGGCCTAGTGCAGAAGGTTCACCCTCGCAGAGATTGCCTGCTCCTGCTGCTTATTGGCTAGCGGGAGAGAAAAAGCTTTGTTGGCATCCGCGACATACGCTGCGCGCTCCGAACTCCTATCCAAAAAAACACCGTTTTTTCCGGGTTTTCTTTTCCTGGCCGATGTACGTCCGTCATGAGCCGAAATCTAGGAGGTTCTGTCCCTGTCAGATTACACTGCTTCATTCGGCCTTAGTGTGACACGCAGGGAAGCATTCATGAAAGCGGAAAGAAGACGATAAACCGCGCTGCAAGGCGAATATGCACTCCGCTCAGACTTTTTAGTTGAATTTTTATTTAAATACACGAGGTGTTGGTGGATCACATGTAGGCCGAATTTAACAGAAAGCCTAGAATATCCCCTCTAAACCTCCGCTGACGCCGTTTGAAGCGACTAGCTCCACCGAGAAGCACGAAAAAACGAGAAACGGCACAATTTTAAAGAAGTTCGTCGTGACGTTCACGGAGCAGGAAAGTGAGCGCTCGCCGAGTGTTCCGGTTGCCTTTTTTTTCCTTACGGTGGTTTACCGCGTTTTTTTTAAAGGTCTAACCTATTCTGATCGTTACAGCTGACCAGACGGTTCCAACAAAAACAAAAAAAAAGGGCAGGTTTACCGGCTGGTTAGTGAGCCAGAACCGGCAGGCCCCGTTGGGTGTCTGCTTCTGCGCTGCGTCGCTTCCTTCCTGCAGCCTCCCATCTGCTACAAGACCACGGATAGATTTGAAAGCCGGCTTAAAATAAAGAAAAAAAACCCCAAAACGTTCAGAACCGACGCCGTCGGAGACTAGTCCGCCTCACCTCGCGTCCCGGCCCGGTGAAGCAGCCCGGTGCCCGTTAGGATCTCCGGCAGGAACGCTTCATTGTCCTGAGCCTCCTGCCAGTGAACGCCTCACTCTCTGCTCCTCCTCCTTTCTCTCATCATCTGTTTTCCTCCATCCCTTTCTCTCTCCCCCCCCCCCCCCTCCTCACCCCCGTCTGCTATTTCTCCCCTTTCTCCTGTAAAACTCCCTACTGTTTTTCTCCCCCTCCCCTTTATATTTCTTATAGCTTTATTCCTTTTATCAGGTTTGCATCATGAATACACTCTAAGTAACCCAACACTGACTTTTGGGTGGTGTATTTTTTTATGATCATTTCATCACGTAGCAGCCAGCCGATTTGAAAATATAGAGCCTGACTGACTGACTTTTACTGGCTGTTCTGGAAGAAATGACAGCTCAGGGCGAGGGAGGGCTCGGAGACTATAGAAGTGTTTAAGCGGCATCTGCTGGACAAATCTGTTAACTGTTAGACACCAGAACAGTAAAACCCTAATGGATTATCTGAGGAATGGTCTTTACTAAATGACAACCAGTATTCTTCATTTGCCGTGTTCCGGCGCTGTCTTATGGCTGTTTGGAGTGCAGATTTGCTGGATGGAACATAGGTTTTTGTAGGCGTTTTTTTTTAGAAAAGCAAAGCACAATGTTATTCCACCTATCACCAGAACATTCTGCAATCTGATGAGACCATCTGTGAACAAGCATTTGTTTAATTGCGGTCTCCCTATGTAGTCTCAAAACGGGATAGAGAGGCATTATCGCCATTATAATTCCTCCATAAGGGCTCAAAATTTGGCCGTTTGACCAAACAGCAGACTAATACTTCGACGATTAAAGGAAGAAATTTTTTAAGCTTCCTCCTCATTTGTCGTTGTTTCTCCTCTGCATCCTTTATATCTCTTCTTCACCCCCTGGAATCGGGCCTGAGCATCCAAGGGTGCCCAAATGAAATTTTCTGACAATAATACTGATTATTTATCCTTCAGATACATACAATAAACCCCATGCTCTACTTGTTTAATTTTTTTAAATGCTAAAATAATGTACAAAAGCAATTTGTGGTGCGAAAAGAACAAGAAGCAAGTTCTAGAATGAAGAATCAGCAGGGAAGCTTAAGATGAAACCATTTTGGAACCGTAAAGTATATCATCCATCCATTTTCATAACCGCTTATTCCCTGATGGGGTCACGGGGGAGACTGGAGCCTAACCCAGTGGTCAATGGTTGAGAGGCGGGGTATACCATGGAGGGTCCGCCAGTCCATCACAGGGCCACACAAGGACCAACACCCACTCCTAAGAACAATTTGGAATGTCCAATCAACCTAATATGCAGGTTTTTGGACAGTGGGAGGAAGCCGGAGAACCTGGAGAGACACAGGGAGAACATGCAAACCCCACATAGAAAGGTCCTGGTTCCCCCAGGGATTTGAACCCAGAACCTTCTTGCTGTGAGGTGATGCTGCTGACCACCACACCACCGTGCCGCCCTACATGGGTTCAATTCAGTAAAACTAACGACCTAAAGTAATACACAATACATGCCATTCAGTCACCAGTGGACTCTGAACTTTGGGATCAGAGCCTTGACCAAGAATTTTTTTACGTGAGGCCCGGAGGAACATAGAGTCGAACTACTGACCTTCTGATGGTTTTTTCTTCTGAGTAACAATCAGTAGAACATCCCCAAATCATTTAGATCAGAAACACTTGCTGAGATTGAGAAGCAGTAAGGAATGTTCTAAGGTGGCCATCAGAGTTTTACAGTATTCTGAATGGTTAGTCTGAATATGACTGGCATCCCAGTGAGAGTTTGATTGGATTTCAAAGCCCAGCATTAAGTATGGCAGATCATTGTCATACCACATTATCATTTGTTAGGATAACACATATTGAAGGTTTCTTTAATTCAGTGTTCTATTTTGGTTGAATGATAGTGCTTTATTCTTTGTCATTATGGGTGTTTTTTTCCCCTCCTCATGAATCCCATTTAATAGACATGTTATAGAAATTAATCTATTGGAGATATTCAAAACTTTGGGGCAATTTCTTAACATCATTTTTGAAAAATGAGATGAAAGTCTGAATATAAGGAGCTAAACATCTGTAGCAATGGCAGTTTTTAAAAAATCTAAGTAATTTACAAAGGTCCTTTTCCATAATGGTTAAAGCATTTTTTTAGATTGTGTTTCTTGTCGATCAATAATTTCTGAATTAAAATTAATTCTCGCATAAACACTAATACCGTTTAAAGCTTATTTTACTGATATGGGTTATCTGAATGAGATGCAACACTTCTACAATCTGGAGTTTGTTTAAATTTCAGCCAAAGTTGGCTCCTGTTTTGCTTTCATCATTATTACTACCAACGTTTGGGCTCAGCTCCATTTTCATCTTCATGACTTTTTTAAATATCACTTTTAGTTGGTACCTCCGTTTCTTTCAACATCATATCTGTCTTCTCACGACTAATGTATATACCGGTACCAATTTGCCCCGTTCATTCTCAATTTTAGTCTGTGGCATGAACCTCCTCCAAGTGAGTGTCCTGTAATACACAAATGTGAGCAGAGGAGGGCAGCAGGTTCAAACATTTCTGTAGTTCCTCACATCGTCTTTAATGCAGACCTGGTTGGGAATATTTGGACAGTAATGCAACTTACTGAAAACAAGATTAAAATAAAAAATAGATACGTAGTTTCCTAGGGCCTGTTTCTCAAAATATGAAACAAAGAAGCTGTGAAAAGAAATGGTTACATTATCATCTCTTAATATGTGATTGAGATGTGATGGACAATCGGGTGGGGGGGGGGGGAGCCTTGTATGGGCATCCACAGCTGCTGCTACTATCAGGAGATTATGGACCTTTGGTCATTTTCCCACGTTACTAAATATATCCGAATAGGAAAACTGAGCCAAGAACGGCAGAAGGCTGATGAAGAGAAAAAACAAAAGAGGAAAAAAAACACCAAAAAGGTCATCACACATAAGTGGACCTTCAAGATGGAGATAAAAATGCACTGACATACACACCTGTCTCAGTCTATACAAGCTAATGATGTTTCCTTCGTCTGTAAACAGAGGGAAGGATGACAGGAAAAGCTCTGTAGTGACCTACTGCCAGACTTTATCTTCCTCCAACTGAACAGGAAAACTCATGGCTCTTTAAACAGCGGGAGAAGGCATCCATCAATCCTGACAGCACAAAGAATTAATCATATTTAAGATATTAAATGCTACAAAAGATTAAAAACAGGGCCTTTTTGTCCATAACACTAAAATACATAAATGCATACATGACTCATGAGTTTTTCTATTTAGCTGATTTCTTTCAAGGCTAAAGTTGCTCGATAATCCCATAAATCTTCTCAGTTTGCTAATAAAATTGCAGCTCAGTTTCCGACAGAACAGTCAAACACGTCCCAGTTGAAAATTCTTTATTTCACCAATCTATCAAGACAAAAAAACACATGATAAATTGAGATATGTAGGCACAAGCAGATGCAAAGGTTCCCAGGGTGAAAAAAAGGTACATGCAGTTCACCTGGGCAGTACCAATTCCTAAACCGAAGGAATGCCTTAACCAATCCTGTTTTATAGTGTATCCCACAGAAGATTTCCAGAAATAACTGCAGATGCAGACCATTTCAAATATCTCCCAATCTTCATAACAGATGTCTAAAATCCTATGCAGGAAAACTAATGCATGGTGTTCTACATTATGCACAGTTGTGAGCAGCGGTAATGATTCAAAGTGGTGCACTTTCCTGATTTGTGGTAAACTTTTGCCAAACAAAGGCCGAGGAAGCTGCCCAAATTTCAACAGCAGCCAAAAATGAGATGGCTGGAACTGATGTGATGTTCCAGAAGTCACAGAGTGACGGATGTCATTTCCTAGGTCGCCCTCCCCCTATTCCTCGCCCGCTCACTTAAAGCCACCTGATCATCACCCGCTATTGTTTCCACCACCCCCCCTTTCCTCCCCCTACATGGAGGGTGGGCTCTCAGTCGCTGATGATGTGTCCTCCCCAGGTCTCGTGTTTGGTGCCTGGTTTGAGATGGGTTATGGTCACATCCACCGCCTGGACCTTCTCCATTTTGGGAGGGATGGAGCAAATCTTGTAGCTCAGTTCGTCGCCTTCCACCGGCACATACTCTCCCTCAATGCTGGGGGAGGAGACAGTTCATCAGTTAGTTACAGCAACAACAAACAACTGTGAACCTTCCAATCAACGCAGTCAATTTTTTAAACGCATATCTGGAGCTTAAACTCCCCTCGGAGCATTTGGGCCTGAATGACCCTCAACTCTCAACTCCCATTCAGAAAATATCTTAAAAAATGGTGCGACATGTGACATAATCTTTTCCATAAACATCTTTAAATGAATTTAAGGGTGGAAAATGGGTACACAACAAGGCAGATGGACTAAAGATAATGCTGCCAGATGAAGATCATAAACATCTGGCTGGATTTTGAACTATTGGAGAGAGAGAGAGAATAATAAGAGGGAAAAAAAGTGTTACATTTGCTTTGCTTAGCTCTTTTAGAAAAAGGTTTCAAAGTGTGAATTTGAAGCCATAAAACATTATGAACATTTCAGCAGTATTTTAGCTGGTCTTGCAAAAAACAAATCAAAGGCTCCAAAGACAAACGGAAAATATAGAGATAATTTATCACTTTTTGCAAAAGTGTTTCTTTTGTCATTGTCACTGTGCGCAAAAATAGACTAAAATGAATAAATCAAACGGATAATGTTCATTTTGGATCCTGTATTCCCCTCGTTTGTTAGCAGCATTGTTGGCAAAGTCACATGTGCAGGAGTCAGAGAGGAATGTTTTTTATGACAGGAATGCCACATTGTAAACCAGCAGGGCCTTCCAAAGAGAAGAGAAAAGAGGGCCCACCTTAAGGGCCACAAATGTAAAACCCAGGCGTTCCCATCTCATCTATTCAAATAGTCTTTTTTCACATTTACCCCTGCACAATATTCCTTGACATATCAGTATACCATGGCAGCGACACACTCATCTTAAAGCATAAGAGGAAACTTTCTGGGCCAGTGGATCAGCTGATTAGTTCAAGTCAATTGGTCACAAAGCAAACAGAGTCCACCGAGTGCACATGACCACCACAACCTGTTTGTGCCTCTCATAGAGCACTTCAAGTGTCCAGTCCCAGAAAGCAGCATCCAGTTCTGCTAAATATGATCAGGATCTACAGCCTGTTACTGTGTGAGGATTAGCCAAAAAGATCCAAACAGACTGAAAATTTGGCATTGTGCAGGTTTATACTTGATTCTGTTTGAGGGTGTTGTGTTTTCCTTTTGTGCATGTGGGTGGATTGAGTGTGCGATTCTGACGTACGTGCTTTTTAAACCTATGGCTGAAAACAAAAGGCACAGTGGTGAAGGTCATTGGATATTCAGCTATCCACCTACTCACTCCACACTCCTCCTTTGTGTCGGTGTATGCGTGTGCCTCTAACATCACCAGGAGGCCTGGCCTTGCTCGATGTTGGTGAAAACCAAAGTGGTCCTTTCTTTTGTGCATCGTTGTTGGTGGCAAAGACGAAAACACACACACACACACACACACCTGACGGCGAGGGGCACTTACTCTGATATGTGGACAAAGATGTCGTTGCCGCCGTCGGATGGCGTGATGAAGCCATGGCCTTTGGAGCGGGAAAAACATTTACACACACCCTTAAACGAAGGACCCTCTGATGCCCGGGCTGTCCTGTTGGGTAAAAGGGACACAAATGGATATATATGACTTATGATAATGGTTTGATACTTAGGCTGACATTGTTATTCTAACAATTACTAGATATAACTTAGAAATATACTGTGTCCCTGTGTGTCCCCTCTCAGATTATTTGGCCACATAGCTCATTACTAGAATGAACCTATGGTGACTAACACTTAATAACAGAGTTTATATGTGTTGTTAAAAATCCAGAGAGAGCAGGACCAAAAAATTGTCCATTACATGTGATTGTCCTGACTTTCCCTCAATGACACTTTCTAAATGGCACAGCTTTCTTCTGTAAAATCACTCTCATTAATTACACATGACAGCGTTTCATCTTCGGTTTAATAATGTGTGTTTTTTCCCCTCACGCTGAATAGGTCCTGTTCCTGCGCGTGGGCAGAGGGCTGGGTATGAGGTAGCCTCTCATGGGGGATGGTGAGCGCTCCCGGTGCCTGTTGGCTGGAGGCTTCAGGGACTCTGAAAGGAGAAAACGGCTAAATCAGGACAACAATCATCACACAGGATGGCCCGCCAATCTTCTGGCTCCTAAACGCACCGTATGTATAAAAAAACACTACACTGAAATGGTCTGAATAACATTGTGCAGGGTATCCAACTGAAGGGACAGACATGGTGGTCAAGCTGGCCTAAACTAACTGTAAACACCCTCCAAGAAGAGAAGGAAAAGTGAACTTATGTAAAATAAAAAAAGGGAGACCGACAATGCAAATGGGCCAGATGCCGATTTGACATTATAATCACCACCGGCAAATCTTAGAAATTTAGCGCTGACATTTAAAAGGACTTGGACAAGGGGACCATTTTACTCTTTACTAATTAAAAGATGCACCAGCTGTATGGGACCATGACTATCTGAACAAATGGTGAAATATTGAATATACATTACAGTTATTATTGTGAGCAGCGCATCAACGGTGAATCCTGCATTTAGTGGAGCCTAACGCAATAGAAGAATTTGTGCAGAGGTTCCCTGTGATCCACAACACAGCAGTTTCAGAAGTGAAAAAAGGAAGTATTTGGGATTCAAAATAATTACTCTAGTGCTTTTCAGTTTGATTCCTGGGCTAGATGCTTTCAGGCCGTTTACTGTATGCTCTTTCATACCGTACTTCTGTATCACAGAGCTCTAATGAGAACTCCCCCGAGGAAAAAGGGGTGCAGAGTGGGCATCTCCACTCCCCCTGCAATTTTTGCTGCTGTTAATTGTGTTATTCTGACCTCAGGACAGGCTGTCTTGTGAAAGCAGCAGCCATTTTGCACCAGGCTTATTTCCACAAACAGCTTAAGTAGTGGACCAGAAGGGTCAGAGTAAGTAAGCGACAGGGAAGTGGTTAAGATTCAGTAAAAAGGATGAAGAAATAAATACAACATGCAAACCTTTTATTGGAGGGTGTCGAACAGCAAAATGGGAAACTTCACCAAGGTATTTCTTGCCAAAGGCATGACAATTCGGTTCAGGTTTTTTCGCAGTGGACAAGCTTCACATCCAGTGGTCCAGGGTGTCATTTCAAATTCCAACAAGAATCTATGTTGCCTCAAGCGCTTAGTATTACTGTAAAAAAGATAACTGAGAATGTGCTCCGGGAGTACGGGGTACCGGATCCTTTGTTAGGCTGTTAGGTCCCTGTACAACCGGTGTCAGAGCTTGGTTCGCATCACCCGTAGTAAGTCGGACTCGTTTCCGGTGCCCTTTGTTTCCGTTCTGTTCATCATTTTTATGGACAGAAGTTCAGGAGTTCAAGTACCTCGGGGTCTTGTGCGCAAATGGAGGTAAAAGTGAGCTGGAGATCGACAGGCGGATTGGTGCGGCGTTGACAGTAATGAAGAAAGAGCTCTCAATTTATCAGTCGATCTACCCTCATTTGTGGCCACGAACTTTGGGCAGTGACCAAAAAAATGAGATGGCGGATAAAAGCGGTCGAAATGAGTTTCATCCGCAGGGTGGCTGGGCTCTCCCTTAGAGATAGAGTGAGAAGCTCGGCCATCCGGGAGGGGCTCAGAGTAGAGCGGCTGCTCCTCCACCTTTAAAGGAGTCAGTTTAGGTGGTTCCAACATCTGATAATGATGCCCTCTGGTCGCCTCCCTAGCGAGGTGTTCCGGGCACGTCGTATTAGGAGGAAGCCCAGAGGAAGACCAAGGACACGCTGGAGAGACTCTGTCTCTCAGCTGGCCTGGGAACGCCTTGGGATCCCCCCGGAGCAGCTGGCAGAAGTGTAGGGGAGAGGGAAGTTTGGGTTTCCCTGCTTCGGCTACTAACCCTGCGACCCGACCCCAGATAGGCGGTGGACAATGGATAGATCAGGTTGACTAACCATTAATAAAAACTAGGAAGCTTTCTTTTTTTAAATGAACAAGCAATGCAAAGAAAAATTCTCCCCATTAACTACAGGCTTACATGAGCAAATTTACAGCCAAGGTTTGGACAAGAACAGAGAAGAAAGGAAAAGTGAAAGCAAAAGCCTGGCACAGTTTATCTGCTGTTTTGGAAAAATGTCAAAGTAGCTGATGCATCTGAGCCCCTATTACAAACTGCAGTAGAGCAAACCTACAACGGCTAGGAAAAGCGGCCACAAAGGGTTCAACATAAACAAGCACTTTGTTTAAATTTTGTTTTACGATATGAAAGAGAAACAGAGACACACTGTGAATTTATTCTTTAGTTTTTATTTTATTTTAGAATGAATGGGTTTTGAGTAAATTTTGAATGTATTACTTGTACTTGTATATTGTACATTAGTAGGATAGTTATTTGTGCCTTGTGCCAATCTAATGTATGCGTTAGCAGGAAATTATAGGGTACATTAGCAGGAAAGTTCATCATACTTTAGCAGGTAGAAAATGTGTATGTTAGCAGGGAATGAAATGGTACATTTGCAGGAGGGGAAAATAATACGCAAGTAAGAAAATAAATTTTATGTTAGCAGAAATAGCTACGTTAGCAGGACTTTAATTTGTAATTAGCAGAGCCAAATCTGACATCAGGAGGAAAGTAAATCGGACATTGCGGCAATGTAATGTGTACATTAGCAGGAAATTATATGGTACATTAGAAGAAAAGTAAATTATGCGTTACTAGGGTTGTCAAAAGTATCGATACTCCAAAAAGTATCGATACTAAAATGTTGTATCCGGATACGATACTCATTTTCAAAAGTATCGATACCACCGCGCGAGCGCGCGCGCGCGCGCCCGCCCGCGACACTGACCTGCCGTCGCCCTTTTTCTCTGATTTATTTATGTATTTTTTTACGTTGTTTATGGTCATTAACAAGTTGTTAGCCTTGAACTGCTAGCTTCGGCTAATGGCTAATAATAACGTGCTACCATTAATCAAGTAAATGTCCGACTCCGCCCACATTGAAGTCGGCCATTATAGTTACATTAACAAAAGGAAGATTCCAGGCAAGAAAATCCTAATTGCTTCATGGCAATATAGAGATTCATTTAAAAAAGGTGAAATTAATCTTTCAAACACTTAATTAAACTCTATACATATTATTATGTTAAATTGTGTATATTATATAGGTTTGTACAATAAGTCCAAACAAGTTTAACCAAAAAATATTTATTTCTCACAATTATGAAGGCTGGAGGGTTTGGGTTAGGGTTAGGGTTATTAATGCAGGCCACAAGTCACGATAACATTAGTAACAGGTCAGTTTGAAATGAAAGACACTAACCTGTCAAAATTCATTTAAATTTTGGGGTCTTTTTTTAATCCTTGTGGTATCGAAAATGGTATCGAGTATCGAGTATTTTCCTGAGTATCGGTATCGAGTTGAAAATTTTAGTATCGTGACAACCCTATGCGTTACTGGAATGTAATGTTAGGATTAGGGTTATAAGCAGGAGGGTAAAATCCTATGATAGCAGGAAAGTTAATCATACGTTAGCAGATATACAATGCAAAATTAGGAAAGTAATGTGCAACATACTGTATATAAATGTGTAATAACATTTTCCCATGGAAATCTAGTGATTAGGATAAATAATTGGGATCTCGATACTGATCCAAAATAAAAACCCTGGTATTTGCTTTAGCTTTATGTGTGCTACCAACCCGGCCACATGAAACTCAGTGTGCTCAATCCGCTACCTATAAGAGCACATAACAATACAGGTGTGTGTTTCCTTGAGCAGCTTAATGTGTGCTCTGTACCTGGTGAAGTGGGGGATCCTGCGGGAGGCAGTGGTGGGGTCATTGGTCGAGACCCTTCAATAGTCGCGGGCTCAGAGGACATGTCGGAAGGGAAGGTGTTGATGGATCAGAAAGCAGGAGAGCAGGGTCACTTTAAACTCAGCACAGTGGAGCTTCTGAGACACCTGAGGAGGGGATAGGAGGAAGGCTTTAGAGTTGTGTCACACACATACACATTTAAGTGATCATCCCATAGAAAACAATAGTTAATAAATGAATCATCCCGAATCAGTGACCTCCGGATTCATTTCGTCACCATGACAACAATAATTAGAGAACAATCTGATGTTACTGTGACCTGACATGCACAGAGAATGAGAACAGTCCCTTCATTCATCGCTCTTGTACGACCACCAATTAGAGACAAGCACAGAAGAAAGTCTCCATTGATTTCTCCCTCCCACTACCGGTGTATTCTCCACAGGAGGAGAAATAGAAATTTGGCTGCTAAAAAACAAATGCATTGAAAGGATATAATTGCAGGGGAACCAGGGGGAATTCAGCGACTTGTCAGATTCAGGAGCAGTGTAACATAGGATGAGTAGACTCCTGTATTCAAAATGGGAGAATGTAATACAGAAAGTGTCTCAGTGTAGTTGAGGAGTGCTCTTAAAAACAAAAGAATTAGAGAAACAAATCATTATTTTCAATCTTGCACAGTGGCAAGCTTGAAAATGTTGTTTTTGTTGTTGTTTTTTAATCCAAGGCTAAGGAGGACTGTCTTACTGATTTACTAAAGAATTGCATAAATATTTTTCCGTGGTACCAACAAGGAAGAGCAGGAAAGTAATGCAATAGTTCAGTTACCAGTCCTACTTGGCAGATCTGTTTGTTCTCATTTCATGACGTAAAAGAGATCCTATTATTAACAGATTCACATAAATATAAGCTAGAATGAATGATGATATAAAAAGTTGTTTAATTCCATCTAACATCCTTCCACTGGAAAGGAAGAGGGACACATCCTTGACAGGATGCCACTCCACCACATTAAACTGGATTTAAACATGTTCAGCTCACATTTCCAGTTTCAGTATAGCTATTTTCGACCGTCAGGAAGATTGCCAAGAAAAACTATACAGATTATTTAACTTCCTGTGGGCTTCAGGCAGGCATATAGACACACACACACACAGAGTTAAGTGCTAAAGAACATAAAAGCAGCTCAAATATCCTATACTGTTTGAAGTCTAAACAAAAATACAGAGAAGGGGAAGATCATTGTCGCAACAGAAACACAACATGTTTGGAGGTTAATGCAAATGCCTCTCACAGTGTACATTTAGCTTTAAACGTCTTCACATTCACTATATCTGCAGCATAAAGCTTAACACTGAGCACTTTACAGTGCTGGGCAGAGAGAAGAGTGAACATTGCTTCTGATCTGTCTGACTAAAAAAAACAAAAAAATAAAAAAGGGACATAATCCAATCACAGCCTCTGTGGGCAGCACGCTTCCTTTATGACCTACCGTCAACACACATTAACGCATTTATAGGCTCAGCAATAGCCCAACAAAACAATGGCCATGTGAATCAGCCCGAGGGTAGTGTCCAAAGCAAAAATAAATAAGTAAATCAAACACAGACATAGGGAGAGAGAACAACTTCCCAAGAGCTGCAAGAGGAAGGAGGGAAGGTCATTTCAGAGCAGCAGGGAGTGTCGGGGAAAATGAAGCAAACAATTGGGACGTACTGGATAGAAGAGGTCAAAAACAGAGCAGGCCTGGAGACATGATAACGTGACTACACAAATCTCAGACGTTACAAACCAGATCTTTGAAGAAACACCAGAGAAGTTTGTGCAACCTTAAACCTTGTGCTTCTGACTTGTTTTAGTATACTGTCTTGTACATAACGTTCAAACATGGTAGGTCGATCATTTGTTATTCTTTTCAAGGGTAGTTGTCTGATTGGAATTTATGTAAGTTGTATTTGTTTTATATTGTAACACAGTATTTAGTACATAGTGGATTTGCTTTTGTTTTGGAAGTTTAGAGAAAGCACTTTTATGTTTAAGTCAATAGGGGTCTTGTTTGAGCTCTCGCGAGAGAAGCAACCGAGCCCTTGTTAAGGATTTTTGCTGAAGTCAAGGCTAAATACATAAATGGAAAATCTTGAAGAATTAGGATAATTCCCTTTTTCATGCACCATGCAACCAACAATTTATTTTATTTATTTGTTGTATGCTTTGCAAGTATTGTTTCGTATGCTCTGCTAAAATGGAAAATGAATACATGAAGTCTGTCAGGCAGAAACTCAAAATCTCGAGCCAGATAGCCTATATTAGGTCATTCGAGTTGGAAACAAGAACCCTCAGTACTTTGGAGGGCTGACAACCTGCTCAGGTTCTTTAAAACACTGTCGTAAAATGGAATGGGCTGGAAAGAACCTGCAGCTTTCCAAAGTGCTCACTAGAACAAGTTCTTCCTGTAGCACTGGGACAACCAGAATTTGGTAACACTGGCCAAGTTTAATGACAGATCCTTAAACATCATCTGCATTTGACAGATGAAGGATTTTAAGATTTCTTTTGGAAACTTCTGTCTGTTTGCCTGAATTGAAATTGAAAACAAACCAACCAGGAAGGTGAACAGAGAGCTTTAAGAGAGGATCTTTGAAGTATTTTTAAATCCTTTTGGCGTCATCGACTGTCTGCTGTAAGCCTTCTGCGCTGGTGTTAAGGAGCGTTCACTGATGTGCCTCAGATGTTTTTACATTGGACACAAATGTATCTATGAATCAAATTAGAAAAGATTTTGGCCAAATGAGAGGACAGGTTATAATCTATACTTAGGTTCCTAATAGGTTCACAAAGGCATTAGCGGGACGGTGGGAGGAAGCCCGAGTACCAAGAGGGAATCCATACAGACAGCAGAACATGCAAATTCTACAACGAAAGGCCCCAGGTCCCCCGTGGGGGAACCCTCTTGCTGTGTTAGGCGACGGTGCTATCCACCAACAGCAAAACCTGATAAATGAAAAAAAAAAAAAACATCTCCCTTATTGCTGGCTATTGCCCTTCATGCTCATTTAAATAATGAACAGTGATCCATATACATTTCAAATGGCCAAAGGTGTTAAAAAGGATTTGAGTTGAAAAATCTCTTAATATAAAAACATTAAAAAATATGCAGCTCTTCAGAACAACTGCAATTAAAGATACAGTTCAAGTTAAAGCCCACAGGGAGGTGAGGCATGATTGCGAAGTGTTGAAGCAACAGCAACACAAATAAGCTCTTTAATAGAAACTGTTTGTGCTGACAGTCAGACACCTCTTTCAGGAAAGTAAAGCATTGGCCTGTCGATGTGCAGCTGCTCTCGAGGAACACGTCCAATAAGATAAGTGCTTCATTTAAATCTGGCTCACACTCCATGTCTGAACTCATTGATTCAGATTAAGAAATAAGGCCGGGATATAACTGGCCTTTCAGCCTCGGGTGGCTCAGATTTCCACAGACCGACATGCAGAAAAGATAGAACTTGCCATCCAAACAATAATGTTTCTGTGTCATTTCTAAACACCTGAACTATATTAAAGCACGTACTGCTCAGGGCAGAACCAAAAGCAAAGAAAACTGATCATCGTAGACTCGTCTCCTTAGATTTAACACGAATGCATCCTTTTGTTTCTAAAGGCCTATGTAAAAAAAAAAAAAAAGAAAAAGTATTAAAATAAAGAACTGTGCTGTATTTGGAAAGCATATTTTTCAACTAACACTGAAATTGTCACCAGCATAATTGTCAACCGCCAAGTAACCAGTAATTACAATAAATAAGTGAAATATGAGGTATCAAATGGGATAATAATATGCTGTACTTTAAGTCAAAGTAACTTGTGATCTGATCATATCTGAAAAAGTCTCAAAAGTTTGTTATTAATATGGTTCAGAACCTCCTAGTTCCAGAGGACAGAGAAAGAAGAGAAGGTAAAAAAATAATCCAAACCCCTCTTCTTCATGAGTTCAAAATGCTTCAAAAAATTATGGCCGAGTCCCAGCTGGATTGCAAAGTCAGACCCATTAAAAGAATGCCTTTCAGGTTTCCGGCTCAGACACAAAAGCCACTCTATTATTCTCTCACAGCTCTGAGTTAAACCTGTTGTGGGGAATTTTCCATGCTGGTCATCTCTGGATACCCCGACACCTAGTGAGCACCGCTGACTCAGCACGTACCGGTCCAATGGGACACAATAACACGCACACACACATGATCACGCAAATGTGGTCACATTAATGAAGCAAACAGACAATGGTGAGACGAGAACAAACTTAATGAAATGCTTCACAAATCCATAGATGGTTTACTTCACTTTTTTTTAAAGCTAGGCTGCTTTAAAAAACAAGCTAAACCTTTTTTTTCAGAATCAGATAACGCTACACATATGTTAAGGATACATTTAAAAGCAACAGTCACATTCGGGAGCTCTCAGAAATCGACCTGATGAGTGCCAGGCAGCAGGAAGCCCATCACCTCCCATCCTGCTGAGGTAAAAACTACTGCCAGAAGAGAAGACGTGCTACACAGAAATACAAAAACACCTGTCACAGAGCTAAGAAAAGGGTTCATACGTAAAGACAAGGACCAAACATCTTAAGACTTCCATAACATTTGTTAGCCTTTAAAAGCCAATGAGGATATAAGGGAAGGAAATTCAAACGTGAACCGTCAAATAACATCTAAAACAGAAATTGCTGAATTTTAATTAAGGAACAGACAGCCATTTGAAACAAAACACATACACCCAAAACAAACTACTAAGAAACAGGAATGTAAATGAACTGAAGGTGTCAATGAGATCTGTGTCTCCATCTGCTCAGTTACATTTCTCTATCCCAATCCTTGCAGCTCTTTCGCAATTTTAGTTATTTTCTCACCCCATGGAGAAAAAAAAATACTGAGAGCAGAGGAAATGTCAGCGAGGACGAGGTGAAACAAGGCCACTCTGAGGAGGACTGTTGGTATGAAGCAATCTGCAGTCGATCCAGCAGGAGCCCCCAGTAATGGAACAAAAATACAACCCTCCTTTTGTTTTTCTAACCAAAATTAACTTCTTTTTTTTATCTCAGCTTTTCCAAAAGTCATAACTGGCAAATAAAGGTCTCTTTTGCTTACGTGCCATAGTGTA